GGTTCTTTAGGTGTATGACTTGGTATTGTCAAGAAAGCAGACCAAGCAATAGAATGAAGTAGATAAAGAGAACCTTGATCAAGGACTAAGAAATGAGTATAAGGAATAGGTTAAAGAGTATGTTGTATTGGCGATACCAAGTAAAGAGCTATAGATTTGCTATCTAAGGCCCTTTTATACTCGTTAGGGCGAAGTCACAAGAGCAAGCTCTTGTCTCGTGACAGTTGAATCTTCAGGGCGCCACTACCCTGAGTACCACTACGGAGACTATCATACTGTCAGCCCCGTGTTGGTCCAAAGTAACCTCGCCCCTCAAGATTAATACGAGAAATACTGGCAGCAACAAGGACTTGACTACTACAGTCACCCACAGGAGTCATGCAACGAATACTTTGACTAGAACATGTACGCGACAAGCATCGCCACAGAGACGACAATCGACCAAGTTCTCGTCCATATCCGACCTTTATCAGCTTTCTTTTCCCACCAGCAGTAGCACTTCCATCGGCACACCTCGTCATCGACAATTCGAGTAAAGAGCCGTTCTCAACTGATGCAGATCCAGTTTCGGCGTCATTGACCTCGCATCTCCCCCGCGACCCTCATTCGTTCAGCTTCTGCATGTATTGCGGGAATGAAGAGCGCCAAGGGGTCGTTCAAGCGGTCACCTGTTGAGGCCTTGATTGCTTCCGATACTGGTTCGGGTGCTAACGGCGAGCAATCTCTTCGCCGCTCTGGCAGTGTGCTCTTTGAGTAGATAATTAAGTATTCTTTTTATCTCGCAAGAAATCAGATTCACCTCTCAAACACTATCTCACACGCGTCCGATATTCACTTTGATACTTTAATTACTGGTTCCACCGGCAAGCACAACATTTTTTTCTGTCTCTGTGTTTTTTTGCAGTGCTCTCATGTGCACTTGACGAAAGACCGGTTTACTCCGTTTACTGTATTTTCTTTTTCGTTCTTTTTTATTGCCTTGTTGGTAAAGAAGTGGACAGGAACAGATATATGTAGGTGACAAGAAGCGAAGGAGCATGCCGCAGCGGCAGCAACAACCTTTACCTCTCCGCATCGCCTAGCTTTTCCTCCAATCATCACATCCTTGGCTTTTTCTTCCCTTCACAGTCGCCCGCGGACGAATGAGCTATGCAGTGCATATCATTCTCTTGAGTATACTTGACAATCCATTTGCTGCAGAGCTAAAAAAGAACACGATACGGCAGCACGATGATGAAGATGATGTAGTTGATGTATTTGTCCATAAGGGCGAATATATTCTTGTCTTCGTTGGGGTTCCTCGCAGTAAAAAAATCCCCCGTCTCTCTCTCTTCAATCCCCTCTCTCGATGCCAGAAAAACTGGTTTCTCTTTAAGTGTGTTCTTGTGTTCAGATGCTTGCCTTTTTTCATCATCATAGGGATGATGCGCCTATCGATGAAAGAGCATTGCCATTTTTGTGCGCATGTATGCATGAATTGACATCCTTGCTTTTCGCCTCCATGCGTATTTTTTGTGACAAAGCAGACCGGTCGTTTCACAGATCGCACACAAAATGGCAAACTTGTTTGTGAATACCAGGTTGTGCGCAGGCCTGCAGGTCTAGGAAATGGTAAAATCGAGTGACAAGGATTGAAGAGGGTGAAGAAGACGAGGAGCAGGCAGAGAGATGGCCTGATAACCCGATGGTCCGTAATTTGTATTTTGTTGTTGTTTGCGTAAGGTGTTGCGTTTTCTGCCGAAGGGCGGTGTGTTTGTTAAGGAGAGGGGGGATGGTGAGGAGGCAAAGAGAGATCGAGTCAAGGGTGGACGAATAGAGGAGGAACCTGAATTTTTAGGCTTTTCTTCTCCTCTCCACCTACAGCCTTTTGTCTGCTTCAACTGTCGGTCTTCAAAAAAAATCATGGCCAGGGATCGAAAGAAAGAGGGCTGAGAACCAAAAAGGAGGGAAGGGGACAAAGGCCAGACAAGGCTACGCTCCAAAACACTGGAAGGTCCGACCGATAGATCCGACAATGGTGTCCTCTTCGCCTCTGCTTCATATACAAAAAAACGACAGGGTCCGTTTTAGTGTTTCTTACTTTTCTACCTTCTATTGTCATACCCCCACTCTACCCGACAGGTACACCCGTAAAGGAGAGAGGAAGAGGCAAATGGCGTAATGCATTGGTGTTGTGTGATTGTTAAGTGTAGTCGCCGTTGGCCTGTCCATGGCTTGATCTGGGGAGTCGCGTAGCAAGGAGGAACGGGATAAGGAAACTCCATCATCTTCACGTCCCCTGGAATTTAGGAACAAAGGGGCAATCAGGAACTACACATGCGCTCGTTTTTACATCGTGTCTTTGTCTTTGGAAGTGGTAGGTCAAATGGGGAAAAAGAACACATCAAAGGTAGGAGTTTCTAAGAATGCATCCTGGCAGTAGCAAACGCAGAACCCCTCATCACCCTCTTCTCCCTTACTGGTCAACTCTATCATTTTGTCTTCACCCTATCTTTTGAACGCCACGTACCATCTCATTCTTCCGTCTCATTTCTTGAATGGACGAATGATAGAAAAAGAACTTTCCGACAATGAGGCAAAGAGGGCGGTGATGATGGGCACGTTCGTTCCTTTGGTTTCTAGTTCACAGGAGTAAAAACTTGTTTGTCACGCACATGAACAATACACGTTGCTTTTTTCTTATTCCTTGACTTTCTGATCTCATTTTTGTGGCACATGTTAAAGGTGAAGCGCATCTGCCCGTATGCGGCATGGGCCATCTAATACTAAAAGAAAGAAAACAACAGCATTGGCCCAACAGTGCATTCCTGGCTCACTTGTTTTTCTTTGTGTCCATTTTTGGGGAGTATTAAGTAACAACGCCAAGCTCCAGTCAGTCAACTTTGACAAGGTCAACAAAAACAAGAATGGTTTTGTTTTTCATTTTGGCCGCGCTTTTATTTTTATTGAGGCGAGGCACGCGCGCGCGTTGAGATGATGACGTTGTTGATGATGTTTGGGGAGAGGAAGAGAGATGTCATGTTGCTGGATGAGGGAGACGAGGATACTTCGCCAAAGTTGATTGATGTTTCTGAGAAATGACCGCGTTTGTTTGCCTTATTTGTGCTTAGCCTTCCGTTGGTTTTCTACGCATTGAGGAGAAGAGAGGGTAAAGATTGTGGTTGTATGCAATACATTCACCTTTATAACGCAGAAACTGCCAGCCGCCTTCACCATCAGCACAACAAATGGAGGAGACGGCCAAAACAGGAGTAAAGAGAGGGAAAATCGCGCAGGATTTCGAGCGAGTGAGTCGACATTGAAAGGGAATGAAATCTTGTTGGTTACTGCCTATTTTGTACGGGTTGCGCAGAAAAGACGAAAGAGCGAAACCATTTAACTATTGCACTAGTCTGAGGAAGGACGTAAGTCCATCCTTATTTCGGTGCCTCTCATGGTCTCTTTTTTCTTCCTTTTCTTCTTTGAGAGGGATAGAAGTGAGAAGGAGAAAAAGAGAAAAATGGCACACGTATGTAGGGGTTGAAAAAAGAAGCAGAGGAAGGGAGTGAGTGGTTCCTTTGCCCGGTGTGTGTGACAAACAGGTTTTTGTGGGTTGGGTAGAGAAGAAATCAAACCGGTTTTCTGTAGGGTTAAAAGAAAAAAAAGATTCTTAATCTGTTCAAGCTCATATAAATAAGCCAATTGGTATGCCCCTCTTCCTTGTTGGGCACATCTTGCAATGGCGTCGGTCTGAAATAGCCCTTGGAGGTAGCACTCAGAGCCCTCTTTATTCAACAGCGCTCTTCTGAGGAAATAAGACGCCCGTTACCTGACCAAGGAAGGAGAAAAATGGCCGCGATTAGCAGTGAAAGAGAAAAGAAGCAAGAAAGAGTGGATCAACAGATGGCGAGATAGTCAAGAGCCAGATTGGAGACCGCAGGCGAAGGTGTGGTGAGTTAAGACTGACGCCCCATCGACCCAGTGGGCGTGTTCGTCTTATCGTTCAATTACAACTCTTTTTTGACAAGCAGGTTTTTTTTGGTGCAGTTATGGCGATGCTTGAACGTCTCCTCTTTCTAATATCGAGCAAGACCCATGGCTCACTCATGGCTATCCACATTTTAAGCATAGTACCCTATTCGACATAAGCATTGACACTAGACTGCCGCCAAGGCGGAAAGGTGCCAGGCCATGATCGTCCATTGCACCATTTATTCACCGCCTTATTATCTTATTATCTCTCTTTTTCGCGCAATACACTCATCATTGTTCATGATAAACAACACCAAACAACAAAAAATTGGTCTCCCTACCTTGCTGTGGGTCACCATATCTGACTTTCCTGTTTTTTTTACCGCTTGGCCTCCTATTCTCATCCTTATTGTTCTTTGTGTAATCCTCTCTTGGTGTATCATCATCATACATCCCTGTTCTTCTTCTGCCTTTTCTGTAATCTGTCAACGTTGTTCTTGTATCCATATATCCCCCCTCCCCCTTGAGCACAGGTCGACTGCCAAACCCGTTTTTGGACATGGGCCATTTCCAACCCGAGTTTTGTACTGTATGTCTTGGTGTGTGTGTATATATCCGGTATGTGTCGCAAAGTGAAAATTGAATAGAGTAACCCCGGTCGTGGCTGCGGTCAAATAACCGGATTGGCACGAAATCTCCCAGAAATCGCATTGCATGTTCGCTTTTAATAATGTTAAAAAAAAAAAACTGTAAAATGAAATAACGAATCAAGCTCCAACTTGTTTGTGGCCCTGCCCGATCGAACACGTCTTTCGTTTTCTTATAAAATACCCGCCCCAAGCTCTGTTTTTTCTTTCTTCATTCCTCACTTCTCTCTCCATCTTCTTCTTCATCCTTACCTACCTACTTCACTCTTCAACCCCTCTCTCCCGACTGGCCAATTTTAGCTTGCTCGTCTTACTTTCTTCACTCACCACAAACCCTCGTTTCGCCCACACCTAAAAAAACACCTTAAACCACTTAACCTATATACCTTAACAGTAACAACAATGGCTTCGTCGATCAACTCAGAGACGACCCAAAACGAGAACATACAGATGGCCGCCAAAAAGGTCGGATCTGTCCACAGCGGAAAGGCTGAGGTCTCCAGTCTCGACATTGAACGCCAGGAGGCCGACAAGGTCCCCGCCATCACCAAGCGTGCCGCCATCCTCCTCTTCATCGGGTATGTCCTTTATTACATTCTCCTCTCGTCTGTTAAGCGAGTGGGTGAACTTCTATTCTACTTGATCGCCACTCTCTCTCTTGCCCCTTCAGGAATCCATCTTCGCCGCTTTCTACCCTTCCTCGTACCAATCAAGCCATCTTACCACTCCCTACAACTTTTCATCCATTTTTCTGCTTTTCCGCTGTTATCGCTAAGAACCAAAAACATGAGTTTCATTGTTCAGTCAACCACATCATCGCCTTGTTTTATTTAGCCAACAGAGTTTTTTGCACATCTTGTACTACTCATTATTTTCCTTTCATTCATTTTTTCGCACTATTTGCTTACACGCCTCAGACTACAGCAGCAAACAATAAGACAAAACAAACAACAACAATGTAATTAAGAATGGCCCACTAACCATCCACATCTCTCTCTCTGGCTCTTACTTATGACACTAGATTGGCAATGGCTACCTTCTTGGCAAGTTTGGACGGTACCATTATCGCCACAGCTCTTCCCAGGATCGCCTCTGACTTTGAGGCCCAGAGCCAGATGAGTTGGGTCGCCACTGCCTACTTGCTCACCTACAGTAAGTCTCCCCCACTCCATCTCTTGGTCCCCATGCTCTTTGTTGATACCATTCCAGCCGCCAGAAGTCATACCGCGACACTAACCATTGAACCGTCATTTTCTCACTCACTCACTCTCTCTCTCTCTCTCTCTCTCTCTCTCTCTCTCTCGTTTTTTTTTGCGCCAGACGCCTTCCAGCCCCTCTATGGTATGTGAGCCATTCCTGTTCGAATGAGCGTAATGAACCATCTCCTCGCCACCCAATGCTCCTTTATTTGCCAACCATATTCACTCATTTATGCCACTTGTTTACAACTAATAGGTAAATTCAGTGATATCTTTGGTCGCAAAATCATGATCCTCTTCGCCTGTGTGACCTTCATGGTTGGATCAGCCGGTGCTGGAGGTGCCCAGACGATGACCATGCTCATTGTCTTCCGCGCCATCCAGGGTCTTGGTGGTTCGGGTCTTCTTTCGATTGTTCTCATCATCATTTCGGATATCTTTCCCCTGGAGGAACGTGCCAGGTACCAGTCGGTCATCTGGAGTGTCTTTGGTGTCTCGTCTGTCATCGGCCCTTTGCTCGGAGGCGTCTTTGTCGAACAGGCAACTTGGCGCTGGTGCTTCCTCATCAACTTGCCCCTCGGTGTTGTCACCATCGCCTCGGTTCTCGTGTTCTTGAACTTGCCCTTTGAGAGACAGAACCTCAAGGAGCAGCTGGGCCGTATTGATTACTATGGTACCATCCTGGTTATTGCCGCCGTCATCTGCCTGTTGCTTCCCATCACCTGGGGTGGTGTCGAATACGATTGGAACTCGCCCGTCATCATCGTCCTCTTCTGCGCTGCCGCCCTCTTGATTGTTGTCTTGATGTGGGTCGAGTCTAAGGCGGTCGAGGCTATCATCCCCCCCAGATTGTTCCTCAACCCCACCGTCGCCACCCTCTTTGGCGTTAACTTTTTGACCGGCATGGCCTTCTTGGGAGTTATCTTTTACTGCCCTATTTACTTCCAAGTCGTCTTGGGCTCGTCTGCCACAGCCTCGGGTCTCAAGTTGTTGCCCATGGTCCTTGGACTTGTCGCCTCGTCCATTGCCTCGGGTGCCTTGATGGGTATTGTCGGTGACTACCGCATCTTTATCTGGTTGGGAACCACCATGATGTCTATCGGTGTCGGTCTCTGCATGTTATTCGATGCCAACTCGGGCATGGGCCAGCAGATCGGTTTCTTGTTGATTGTCGGTCTTGGAATCGGGTTGATCTTGCAGACCTGCATGTTGGCTGCCCAGGCTGCGGTCGAGAAGGAGGACATGGCTGTTGTCACTGCCCTGTGCGGATTCATGAACAGTATCGGAGGCGGTGTCGGAATTGCGATGTGCTCGGCCTTGTTCAACAACCACTTCAAGACGCAACTGCTGACCCTCCCTCTGTCCGTTCTTGCAGATGCCGAAGCGTACAACATCCAGAAGGCGATTACCAATGTCCAGCTCTTGCCCGCATTGTCCAAGGCCGCGATCATTGGCGTCTATGTTGATACCTTCCAGTTCATCTTCAAGTGCATTACGCCCATTGCCTGCGCTGCCTTCCTCTTTTCGCTCCTCGTCCGCAAGACCCGTATCTTGGATGCCTCTGAGATCCACATGGCCGCTTAAAGATGGAGCTAACTTACTCTTTCTCATTTGCATTTCCATCATCTTAATAAACCATTGTACCATATCCCATAACAATAACAACGGCTCGCTAAGGAGTGATGGGTTTGTGAATAACTAACATACATACTCTCTTTGCCTTTGTCATTCGCGTTTGACGCGACGCGCGCTTTTGCATTGTAAAAGCCCTCTTGACCTTGAGCACGTCAACTCTCCTCCTCACTTTCCTCATCCCAGCAACACCAACAACGCATCATTCGTCAAGGCAAGGACCCGTTCGCATTCACCCATTTCAACTCTCACTCTCTCTACTCACTTCACTCTCTCTGCCTTGCATTGACATTCCTAGTATTTCCCCTTTCTCTTCCGTTTTATTTCTTCGAGAGCAGTGAGAGAACAGTGTCTCTGCTCCACAAAATTTTGGACAGGGCCATCTGCAAAAAGTCAACACAGCACCAACCATCATACCAACGATGATTTCGACATGGAAGGTATGTTGCCATCTCCCTACCCACCCAAAACATCTTTCCATTTTGATGCTTTGATCATGTGCACGGTTCGCTTCGTTTTTTTGTGGGCTGTTCCCATTTCAGCGCATTTCTGTCGGGTGGCTCATGAGGTCCGAGACGTAAGGGAGATACATACGCGTGTGCTTTCGGAAATAAATCATGGTGCGGCAGAGGCCGATGGTAGGCGGAGGACATGAGCTCAATTCGTCATTGCGCGAAACGAGCATTGCACGTACCCAGCCCACCAACACCATCAACACCACCGCCACATGCAAAATGTAATCAACATTTCCGATGCAAAATGCATTCATAAGAAAAATAAATAAACAAGCAGTATGCACGCACAAATGGTATGAGATGCGAGGCAGGGGTTGATGGGAGTCAGAGGGCGGATGGTTTGAATGTTGAAGTGTAAAGTGAGTAATGAAATGGTGAACTGTACTGTGGATGAAAGGAAGAGTGGTTCAGACTCTCATTCATTTTTCATTCTTCCATTCCCCTCCTATCCTTTCCCCCTATCCATTCGTTTTATTACGAAAGTGCTGCAATTAACCACTCGAGAACGGGGAGGATCGGAGGCATGAGAGGACGAGTAAGAGTGTGTAGTTGTATGAACGAAAGGAAACCACATTCATTTTCAAGCATATGCATGCCCCTACTGCCGCGCATGTAATAATAATAATGTACACTTGGAAATGAGTTTCTTTCTATTGATCCATGACCCATCCCATCCATCCCTCGTATGCAATCCAACACCATTTGCATCCGCCCCTTCTCAGCACACTCTTCTTCATTATTGTTTATATTTGATTTTATCTGTCACACCTGATGGGTAAGCAGCTAAAGGGTAAGACAGGCAGGAGCTGCGTTGTTGCATCGATGAAAGGCTCAGAGGAGTGAAAGTAGACTGGCCAAAGTTGTAAGTGTGCTCGGTTGGCAGATATATAGTAAAAAAGAACGGGAAGAAGGAGAGCAAAAGGTCACGCATGGGTAGCGATAACATCGTGGCGTGTAATCGTGCCATGGAATCTGTCGACAGTCATTCACAGCCACGTTGGCCTATTGGCCATCCTTCGACCATGGGCCATGTCCTCTCGTCCAATCGATACTCATACAGAGATGCACATTCCATCCACTCATATCATTTTCCATCTGCACAAACGTACTCTTTTTGGCTGTGCAAACACTCACCAGCGCAGGCCGAGTGAACAGAGAAAAAAACGCAACGACCTCCCTCATGGTGAGTTTAGAATCGAATATCATTCTCACCCTTTTCCTCCTTATCCCCTGTCAATCGCCGTGTTTCTCGTGATGTTTAATGTGTTTAATTAGGATTCGTCTACTTTCTTCGACCATCCTTTCGTATTTATCAGTTCTGCGAGAGGAGCGAGAAAAGGCGAAAGGAGAGTTGATGTTGCTGGTGTTGTGTGTGTGTGTGTGTGTGTGTGTGTGTGTGTGTGTGTATATATTGCATACGAGAGGATGGTGTGTTCATTTCATGGTTCATTATTGGGCAAATGTGTGTGCATTAGCTTGACCTTTGTCCTGACCCCACACTGCATGTCACTCAGTTGATCCAAACCACCAGTCGTCCTTTTTCAAACACGCGCCTTGATGACTTTGTGCTCGCTACTGTTAGTCGCACCCTTTGTCTCTTTTCAATTCCCATCTTCATCTCTTTATTTTCCTATGACGATGGGAGAAAGAGGAAAAACACATTTCATAATAACGACACAAGAGGCAAAGCATCAACTTTAAAAAGGGCACATTCGACCCATCTCTTCCGTCATAATTTTTTTTTTCTTGTTTGTCCTTTTTTTCCTTTGTCTTCGTCGTCTTTTCTTCGTCTCTTGTTGTCCTCGCCTCACTCATTCCTTCACCTTTCTTCATACAAAGCACTCACACATACACACCCACCCTTCCTCTCTCCAGCTTGTTCTTTCTTTCTCTTCCTCTAATTCATACCCTTTCCAAACATTCCACCCAGGTTGCCTTTCATATTATCCTCTGTTGACCATAGGATCCTCATTCTCGCTCTCGTTATCTCTCCAGTCTCCACACTCTTTTCATTCTGTCCAATGTTTTCTATGCTTCGTCGTTATTCCAGGTCGCAAGATCACCACCGCTCGTCGACTTCTTCCTCAGTCTCTTCTGCTTCATCATCCTTATCCTC